AGACCAAAGCGGCAGCAGGTTGCAAGGGGAACTAACTGTGGCCAGCAAAGTTGTCTGCAGTCTGCCACTCTCGAGTCACTTCTCCAATCACATCTCGAAGGGGGCGCACTGAGCAAAGAGGCGTACATAATATGAGAAATGAGATATTAACACAGCATTTACAGAGGAGACCACGGGGACTTGAGGCCTCGGGGAGTCGAATACTGAACCGCCCGGCACCTCGGACGGACGGGATGTATTGTCGGCTCCCAAGGACACCAGCCGACACAGCGGTGCCGGACCGGGATGCTGTGTCATCCAATCCACAAGTAGCGTTGACTTGGGACTTGTCGTGTGCATCTTTTTTGCTTTTTGCTGGTTCCTCTTGCGTGTCTTGCGTGACAGATTCGGAGGATTCGCATTGAGGGACATCACGTGGGGGGACTGGCTGAAAGCAACCGTGCCCCACCCACCTGGACTCTCAACTTCGATATTTCTCCTCATCACTCCCGCGTCAACCCGTTCGCCTCGCTTGAGCCTCCAAGACTCGATATTTCGCCCACCCACCACTCGCTCCCCATCGACGACCTACTTATCGAGAGAACCGTGTCGTCCATCCCCGATATCGACATCGAGATATGAGTCGCGCCAACAAACTTGGCCCGGAGGTAAATCGGTAAGTCCTGCCGTCTTTCTGCCAACGCTGCGTTCGCATTCGTGCTCCACCATCCGCCTTGGACCCTGCCGCTTCTTCCATCACACCCACCCATCACACATCCAACCCGCCTCACTGTGGCACGAATATCTTGGCTGACCATAGCAATCAACCATGGACAGAGCTTTGTTCGTAAAGAACCTAAGGTATGCTGCTTCCCGCATCCATGGCTGTTGCAGAAGCTGACAATCGACCAGCTACAGCGTGACTCCAGAGGAGCTGTTCGACCTTTTCGGAAAGTACGGACCTATCCGGTATGCCCTCCCTCGCCCCTTCCTTTCCGCACGCGTGTTGACACCCCATATAGCCAGGTTCGACAGGGCATCGCGAACAACACCAAGGGCACTGCCTTCGTTGTCTATGAAGATGTAATGGATGCCAAGCAGGCCTGCGACAAGCTAAACGGCTACAACTTTCAGAACCGTTACCTTGTCGGTATGTGGCCCCCAGCAAACCTGCCCTTTTTGTCAGAAGCTAATAGTGTGTGATGCAGTGCTCTATCACCAGCCCGAGAAGATGGCACGATCAAAAGAGGACCTGGAGGCGCGCAAGGAGAATTTAGAACGCCTCAAGAAGCAGCACGGTATCGATTGACAGTTAGACGGGCCTACGGACAGCCTTCAGAGTCAACCCCGACCGTCTGGAGGCCCGTCTCCTTCGACACCAACCTCCCCCTACAAGCAAAAGGCGGCTTCGGCCAAAGCGCCAATGCCGAAAACGATGCTCATGAAGGGGGGGGCAAAGAAGTCCGCGCCTGCACGAGGTCACAGGAGCCACATACCTCACTTCGTGCGCAAGCTGCTTCCCACAGTACCCGAGTGCGCCTGACGACATTATGGATACCCAGCTGGTACCAATGACGGCGTCCCATGGCACACACACACAATACACCAAGCGGGACTCAGCAGCTGTGGCTGGACCTGCCCTCTCTCTCCACTCACGATATTACTGCGACAAGATTTTGCTCGTTCTTTAAGGGGATTTTTATGGTTTCCCTCCGGCTTATGGTTCTGGAGGGACGGGTTTTTGCGGGGTTTACGGGTTTGATGGACTTCGATTTTTCACAGCATGGGCTGGGCAGTGCTGAACAGAATTCAACAGTGGGCGTGATTCCGATGTGGCATCGCGTGGGGGATTGACCACGACAGACAGCCAACATGGCAGTTTTGCCATGGGGGAACAATAGCATTGATGTTGACACGCGGTCTCCTGGCATGGTGCACTATGTCATCTGGTGTGCTTATCTGCAGTGCGTGTTTGAAAGGTGTCTACTTGGTGTAAGTGGCGTACCTGCTATGCTCATGTGCGCTTAGTAGTTGCAGGCCATGACGCTCTATCGGCGGGAACGAAGGGCTGTAGGCGGATAGGAGAATGCGCTTCCTATCCTAGATGATGCCACGTGCACAGTGCCTACAAGTCTGTCTCGTTTTATTAGTGCCGTGGAACATTTGACATTAAGCTGTCCTATCAAAGCGCGGTATGCAGTGATACCCGCGGACGGCTGGCTTGTCGTGGAACGGAAGCCGGACTGGCTGCACCATCTGCATCATCTGAACAATAATCAATACCCAAGAATTGGGACCTTAATGGTCTGCCTGAGCGCCCACAATTTAGTGAATTAGTGTATTGAACTCCACTGGAGATCTGGGCTTCCAGCGGTTGCGGCCGGGGGGGCGGCAGCCGTCAAGCGGCTGCGAGACAACTGGCAAGGATTTTGACGGCTGACGGCCAATCGGGATGTCTCAGCGCCCTCTCGGCTGCAATGGCCTTGCGCATCGTCTGCCTCTCTGCGCCTCCACTTTTTCCTCTGGAGGCATCTCGTGCCCAGACTCGCCCCAGGTTCCAAAAATGCGAGAACGACACACCACACCTCCGTGTTTCTTCTTCACCATTGTCCACATTGTCTGAGTTTGTTTCTTCCTCTTTTTTTTTTTTTTTTTTTCTTTCTTTCCCTCCTTCAGGCAAAACGCCTGCACTCGATTACACCACCGCGATAGCGACGTTTGCACTAGCACCCGTAGCTTCTGCGCGGAACATCTACTTGCACGCACCGTTTCACTGTTCCACAGCCAGCTGAAACCAAGAACGAGTCCGTCGCCAACTGCTTGGCTTTTACCATTTGGCCGATCGGATACAGACCAGGAGGCACAAAGAGGAGCAGGAAAACCAACCACACACAAAAGGGAACCAACCCGCCCTTTCCTACTGAGGCCGTCATAGCCTGTAAATGTTGCTTCAGCCTGGCCTTGCACCACTTGCTCTTGCTGCCCTTGCTCGAGATGCCGCTGTGCCCACGTCACTTGCAGCGGTAGCATCAAGCTTGCCGTCCCACCACCACTTCCACCTCAACCATCTACCGCCCCGCGCCGTCGAGATCGAGATTGACAGTCCCACATCACCGGACGATAAGGATATCGAAGCCGCCCCCGCCAGCACCACCACCCCGACACCCGCAGCCGATAACGACCAGATCATATCAGTCATCATGACACCCTCAGCAACGCTATCACAACTTCCGCCCGCTGCCGCCACGGCCACCGGCTCGCCCCACGCGGACAAGCCAACCGAGTGTCGGCTGCTCGGGTCCTTTGCTATCCTAGTTCAGCTGGCTCTCGGGGCGCTCGCGCTCTTGGCTCTGGTCTATAAGCGCTGGAGGGAGCGGCCGCAGCGGCCCGTCAAGATCTGGTTCTTTGACGTGTCCAAGCAGGTGTTCGGCAGCGTGCTGGTGCACATGGCCAATGTCTTTATGTCGCTGCTGACGAGCGGCCGGTTCAGCATTAAGGTGGACCCGGCCACGGTCGCGACGGTGATTAGCCGGGGTCTGGGTCTGGTTGGGAGGGAAGAAGGATATATGCCGAATCCGTGCTCGTTTTATCTGTTGAACTTGGCTATCGATGTGAGTTTCTCCCCTCCTGTGGGAGCCTGAGTTTGCGTAACTGACAGTGCGACAAGACTACGCTCGGCATCCCCGTGCTTATCATCATCGTACGGGCGACTACAAAACTCGTGGCGTACACTCCATTGGGACAGCCGCCTGAGTCAATTCAAAGCGGCAACTATGGCACCCCACCCAATGCGTGGTGGTGGCTCAAGCAGAGCGTCATCTACTTTTGCGGCCTGATGGGTATGAAGTTCTGCGTCCTGGTGCTCTTCATGATGTTTCCCTGGATCTCGCACATTGGCGACTGGGCGCTGGGCTGGACCGAAGGCAATGAGAGGCTGCAGATTGTCTTTGTCATGATGCTGTTCCCTCTTATCATGAACGCGATGCAGTACTATATCATCGACTCCTACATCAAGAAGCAGGATACAAGTGCCAATGGAGGCGAGTTGTCCGAAGACGGACCCGTACCCGGCGAGACTGTGGTATATGAGGAGCTGTCGGTATCAGAGAGCGAAGGGAGTGACGATGAAGACGCCGAGTCTCACAAGCAACTACGAGGCGGCCATGTGCGCTTAGCTAGGAGGGACACAGCGCCGCCCAAGGACGGCGAGTACGACCCTGATGTCGATGGGGATAGCCAAACAGTGATTGGAAGTAGCTCAAGCCGGGCGTCTCGGCGAGGGGTCTTGCCCAAGGAGCTGATCCCGCCCGAGTAAATGGGCATCTCTTTTCCGTCTGGGCTACTGTGTATTTGGGGCGCAACGATTGTATATACACCGTCCTGTTTTGCTTTGTGGTTTTCACTTGGACATGGGGCATCATTTGGTATTTTCTTTTCCGTCTCTTCTTTCCGCCCACGCATGCATACACACCAACCACACATAGGCATACGGTACACATACACTCGGATACCAAATCCACGCACGCACGCAGGTCGGGGCTGGGATGAAATAGGTTGGGCAGCTGGGGTTGGGAGTATAACAGACATCAGAAGAGGAGAAGCGTTGGGGAAGAATCATCCCGGCTTATCTTCTTGGAGCGTCCTCATTTAGTGTTTAGTGTATTGTACCCATCAGTGGTGTTTGGGTTGGCTGGACGGTATTGTTTGGTGTTTCTTGGTTGAGTTTCATTGGTTCTTCATATGGTGTGGGAAGCGCGGAGCAGTTGGGTGGGATATAGGCAGGATTAAACTGGGGATTATTTATGTACTCGGTGATATTATGCGTTCATGTTCCCTGTGTAAGAAATTCAAGACGAATGTGATTGCATCCAGCAAGATTCCGCCTTGGCATGAAATCCCCCCTGCAGTTGAAACGCCCGGGCGGAGTCGGAGTTTTATTTTTTTTCTCTCCCAAAAAAAAAACCAAAAAAAAACCAAAAAAAAAAACAGGCCGTCAACATCGGGCCGGCGCACAAAAAGAAGGGGTCACCCGAGGATTGAACCCGGGACTTCTCGCAAATACTGCTCTAGGGTGTTACCCTAAGCGAGAATCATATCACTAGACCAGCGACCCTTGTTCAGTTGGTTGATGTAAAAGGCGGTGCGGTATCGAGGGGTGCGCGGGGGGTGCGCAGGTAGGATGGTGTTGGTCAGACCAGTGGTGGGGAGGTGGGGATATGTGGGTTTTGGGTTGCTGGGGGGTTTGAGGTGGAAAGGGGAAAGGGGAAAGGTAAATAAAGAATAGGGGTTTGTTTAACCCCTCCTAGGGGAGAATAACAACTCACCACCACCTAGCTCTCTTGAGAAGTTGCAGTGAGTTGGAGGCTGTGGGGAAAGTTTTCTCTATCGGGCGGGGCGATCAACCCGTCCAGCCCGAAACCCATTTGCAAGGGCAACCACCTGAGGCGCAAATCAGATATTCGCCGGTACTGGCTATGAGAGATGTTAGTCCTCTGGTCATGACACTTTCCCAGATACACAGGACATTGATATTTAATCGTAGCAGCTCATGGGCCTACTTACCCTCCAGAGCGAACTCATCACCAACAGCACCCGGGACAACAGATATCACCGGTATTGTTGCACGACGAGTTGGAAACATCAACCATTGCCCCCACGATCGCGATATTTCCATTATCCGCAGCGCCTTCTATCAACATAACACCATCCTCCATATCATTTAACCTCCAAAAAAGCTAAGAACATGAGGTAAACTATAGGTGCAACCTAGCCGCATGAAATCAAAATAACCACCTAGCTCCGGCTCTCTCCCTCTCGACAGTTCCGCCAAGCAAAACAAAATCATCACATGCAAAGATCCTCACCCAAACCCACCTATACCGTCTCCAGTCTCCATCCCCCAGTCCAACCACAGACCCAACTTCCAAATACCACTCAGCCCATCTCAAAATGCGCTACCACCGTCCCCCAGACAGGCAACTCCTCTTCCGTCCTCGGAGCTTGGACAATCGAGCTTGCGATTGACACTCCTAGCCCCTTGATCTTTTTGGAGTCATACACGCTCCCGCTACTCCCGACGACCCTCACTTGTAGCCCCCTAGCGCTTCTTAGGTATTCTTCAACGTCCACTGGCTTCAAACTCGCTAGTTCCCCATTGCCCATCCGACTAAGCAATGCTGTCGTCAGGGGCACCGTCCCCGACACGTCCAGCTTCTCCATGGCCATGCCGTATGCATCTTTTGACGGTGTCGAGAACACTCCCATTGTGCCGACGTGGTTTCGGGCCAGTGCCCAGGATCTCGGGTCTGTAGGGGCATCACCTACAAATAGGTGAACGGCGAAGGGTTCGTGGAGTGCCTTTTTCTTGACGTGGATGTTGGCAATCCACTCGCGGTAAGAGCCACCAACAAAAGCGGCATCGTTGAAGCGCCCCGCAGTAGCAGAGTCCGGCTGGGGCCGTTTTATCCCCCCTTTTCTGAGGCCGAGGGCCTTATTCGCTTTTATGAATAGGCTCGCCGGACTCGAGGTCCCGTATAGACGGTTGACAGCCGTCCTGACGTTTGCTCTCGCCCGTCTGCTCTTGTTTGGCCCGCTTGCCAGTTCGGCGTAAGTGTATCCAAAGCGAGTGTAGTCACGGACCGTGTCTGATGTCCAGAAAGTGCCATCGCTACTAGCATAGAACGGAGTCAGAGCTGTACGCGAGTCTTGGACCTGGCCTTTGCTCGTGGTATACGACGGCAGGGCTGCGACCTGGGGAACAACCCAAGTCTCGGGATTAAGCTCCTGCCAAATAGCAAAGATGCGGTCCACCATGCAATGGTGTAAGAAGAAGATGGGATCAAAGGCAGAGTATGGAATGTAAGACATGTGACCCCCCTGGACGTTGGGCTGTCCTAGTCCACCGCCGCCGGCAAGGTTATGCACCGTGTCGTGCAGTGATTCGAGGGAGTCGTACGACGCGTTGCTAATCAGCGGGATCCAGGCATTGTTACTGAAGGTACTGTAGTTTCCATAGTTCGAGAAGAGAATATAGAGACGCTGGCTGAGGGACGCCTGGTTCTGGTCAAAGTTCATGGCCACGAGTGAGTTGTTAGACTGTGCTCCGGCATCGTTCGTCGTTGGACTACGGACTGTGGCAGTCCAAAAGTTCCACTGACTCAATTCTGTCAGCTCGCTCGGGCCCGGAGATGACTGTTACACTTACGGGAGGCTGAAGGAATGCCGTGGCATTCAGGGGTTTGAACGTGTAGCTGAACAGCGGATTTGCGATCCGTTGCACGCCACTTGGACCGTCAACATCGACATATGGGCTTCCCCCAACGCTCAGCGGTAGTACACTTTCCCCTGATGGTGGAGTGGCAGCCCAATCCCAATAAGGGATTCGAAACCTGGTGGCGGCTGTCTGATAACGGTCCCTCTGTTCACCTTCAGGCCACCAAGTCGCAATCGTCTGGATAATGCTGTAAAGCACTTGCTAGGATGGAAGTCAGCAGTGGAGGACAAGTGGATGGCATGTCCGAGTATGTGTGATGCCATGAAAGGGAGAGTCTTGTGGTACCTCATAGAGGACGAGATAGGGCCGATGCCACGTCGGGAAGAGGATCGAGGAGTGGGTGCAGTAACCCGTGCCTTCGTTTCCAGGGGTTGGTCCCACGCCGCCCCAGGTCTGGTGAGGTATCCCGTGTATCCCTTCAACCCAATCAGCTACGACCACCGTCTTGAATATAGGGGGGTGGTTGGGCCAAGCAGACCTGTGATGCTGTACCATGAGGTGGGCGATGACTGCTCGGTAAACTGCAGCAAACTAGTCCCCAAGATGTAGAGCGTCCACAAGTCCTGATCCTGTTCCAGTTGTCGTATCTCTTGCCTCAGCTGGACATCTCCCCCGACCTCCCCCCTCACTACCAGCGGTGTCGCAATCGCGCGTTTGGCATGCCTGGTAACATCGAATCCGTAGTCGTAGGGTGTGTGTTGACTCAGAACAGAGCACGACAAGAGGGCGAGCCTAAGGAGGGAGAACCCAAAGGGCGCCATGCCGCTCGTAGGTTGTGCTAGGGGTCTTCCCTTGCTCAGTTCATCCGACGAAAGGCCGCCTCGGCGAGTGGCGAAAACAAACAGTCGAGAACAACCCGAAAAATGTAACGCAATGTGCGGGCGAGGGGGAGACTCGAGTATCAGATGGTAGCAAAGGCGAGGGAGGCCGGTGGGGGGAGGACAACAGGCTTGGGGCGGCAGCATAAAAGAGAGTATCGGACCGGGTTAAGCATGAGAAAGTCGACCCAAGAAGCCGCGTGTAAGTCAGCTAATGAGTAGGTCTAGATGGACGAACGAGCTGATTGTACGAGGAAGGGATTGACGAATGCCGACGGCTCGGGAGAGGGTCAGGTCAGTGCCCACGCAGAGACTTCCTCTTTTCAAGGGTTGGGTGTGACTGGCCTGTGGTATGGCCCGGGGTGGCTCGGTTTGCTGGCTGGGAAAGAGCGGTGTTTGCCTCATTGCGCCTTCCCTGGCGACCCGAAGCAGAGACAGTATGGTTGCCGGCTGGTACGGTATTTGCCATCAAGTCAACAGTGTGAGCCGATTCACCATTACCGGCGAAAAAAGGCCAGAAAATACCAGTTGGGAAGGCGGTCGACTGCATGATATAAAGCGTCACAGCAGCTAGCCGTCGGCATGGAAAGCTGTGTTTCCATGTCAGGATCAGCCCTCGACATGACCTCGAATCATCTCCCTCGCGTTGCACCAACGCCCTGAACCAGTATATACCAGGCACTGGACTGGGCTGGTAGGTCTTGGTATGTCTTGGTTCGGTGCCGACTCCGTGATCTAAGATATGTGGGAGTTTTGCCTGTCACACCCCCCCCCCCGTCTTATCCTAGGTATCGTGGTTGCTCTGCCTCGGGCAGTCCAAATGACCAACACAGAACACGGGAACCTTGACATAATGCATTTGACATTTATCTATAGCTTCAACAACTAGGTAAGCATCAGATTTGCGCCCCGCATCAAGCAGCCACCAGCCCGTTTTGGAGAGGCTTGAGCGCTGTTTGCTTCAGCGGTCCTCTGCGCATTGCGTCCCTCTTGTCCACCCTATACTTGAGTTTTACTCCCATCGCCGCAAGCTCCACATCGAGGAATTTGAGTGCGCCAGGAACAACCACCATCGTTGTGTTCTCACCTCCTATCCACTGCACACCTTGTCCATCCTCCCATATCTCGCCGTCCAGCCTCATCAAATCCAGATCCTCCATCTGGTCCAACCGGCTTGCGCAGTTGCGACACCTAACGGTGTTGACTGCTTTCCTCTTTCCAATAAACGGAGACACCGTCGGCTGGACCGCCAGGAATGACCCGCAGTCACGGCAGATCCAAGACTTGGAATAATCCGAGCAGTTGAGGAGACGATCCTGGAGGAGGAAGGCCGCTCCGTGTGCTAGCAGGGCGTCACGTTCCATCTCTCCCACACGGATACCACCACCCTTCTTACGACCCTTGATCGGCTGGCCAGTCGTCGGAACAACAGGTCCCGTGGTTCGGACCTGGTACTTGTCGTTCACCATGTGACGGAGTCTCTGGTAGTAGACAACACCAATGTAAATGTCCACATTGAACTCCTCACCCGTGATGCCCGAGTACATTGGCTCGTTACCATGGTAGTTGTAGCCCGCTTTCATCAGCTGGTGACCAAAGTAGTCGCCCGCCGTATGCTCCTCGTCAAACTTGAATGGCGTCGAGTCCTGAGCAAGTCCGTGCAGAGCACCAGACTTGCCTGCTAATGACTCGATAAACATACCGATTGTCATTCGCGAAGGGAAAGCGTGTGGGTTGATGATGACATCGGGTACGATTCCAGACTCGGAGAAGGGCATGTCTATGGCAGGCCATTTCTGCGAACAGACACCCTTCTGCCCGTGACGGGACGAGAACTTGTCACCGATGACGGGCGATCGGGGAATGCGTAGCTTGATGGATATGACCTGGAGGGGCTCGGTGCCAGTGTCGGCTCCGATCACCCGCACCTCCTCAATAAATGCATCTTCCGAGTCCTTGTATTTCTCCCAGTGCGTGATACCGTCCCGGTTGATCAGCTGCCCATTGTAGTCGGCTGAGACG